CACTCTCTGTGTTTCTCTCCGTTTCCCTCCGTTTCTTTCTATCTCTCTGTTTCTGTCTGTATCCTTTTTTTCATTTCTTCCCCTTCTTATTTATTCTTTTTTACCTCCGCCATACGAAGAGGAACTCGCGTCGATCGGTGTAAGCTCCGATCATCGAAGTTCCAGGTTCCACGTAACATCCATTCGATTCGGCGCTTCGACTCGACCGCGATTCGTTTTGTCTATCGAGTTTTTGTTGTAGCGATCGGGAATGCGATATCTTTTTTACTGCGCCGACATTGTTTTTTTGCCGCCCGGAACAAACACGTAGTTGTACGCCTGCGGATGGAAAAACAGCGTAACCCCTTCCACAAACCACCCCCCACCCAGCCCACCTTGTGCCCCGACATATTTCAATTGTTTTTATTCAGACTTTCGTTTTCCACGTATACGTTTATTACACAGTTATTTGCTTGTTACGTCTGAACGTTTTGAGCATGGCATTTGCAGCGAGTGATCCGTGTCGAATAAGTAAAACCCGCGCTGGTCGCGCGGAAGTATTTCTCTGCGGAGGCTGTAGTCGGGGTGAAAGAAGATCAAACCTTCATCGCTTGAAGATCACACCTTCGTGAATTTATCTGAAAATCTGTTTAATCTGAAACAATTTATTATATTCGAGAAGTAGACTTCGTTTCTTAGAGAAAATTGCGTAAATGTAATTGAACACGTCGGAATATTCGTCTCTTATAATAACGCAAACTTTGAATTATCCAACTCTTTCCAATTACACATTTTCATATAAAAGTTTATTCCTCAAACTCGAATTCCTGTTCACGAGAAAGACCGGCGACCTCGAACAGTGAAAAACTCTCACCTCGACTACACTGTAGACGAAATTCTCCCTGAGAAGTCTGAAAAATAAATCGCATAACAAACTTCCGAGACGATACTCCCGTGCGACCAGACCTGCAACGACTACGAGTGAAAGCATGTTCTTTTAGTTGGTAATAATTCTGAATGTAACCTTACTCGACGGACGAAACGTTGCGCCCTGCGCCGGCCGCGGAAGATTCCGGGAACAAACGAAACCCCGTTTCCAACGAGCCATCAGAATCTTCAGCTTGAGCGCATGGCCAACGTTCCGTTCCCCAGTACATAACCACCACGAAAAAAAAAGCACCGTTCCCCGTAGGGCAAGGACTAATTCGACGCCGCTTGTTCGCAGACGTAAGAAGAAATGTATCAGATACATGGGGGAGGGAGGAGACGGCGACGGCGAAGGTGATGGCGAAGGCGAGGACGATCACTCGGAGGACAACCTGGGCAGCGTGGGGGAGGCAGGCACTCCCGAGGAGGACGAGTCCCTGAGCAGTCCCGGGGGTTTGTCCGCGTTGTCTAGTCTGGCTAGCCCGTCGCTGGTGTTACCGTCGCCCTCGAGCCTGGCCAGCCCGTGCCCGTGTCCCCTGACACCCCCGGTGCCGCCTCCGCCCCTGTCCAACAACCCGGCCAACAGTCAGCCGCACAACCAGCCGGCGCAACCGCCGCCACCGCACCGTAACCCGGTCGGCACGAATCCCCACGACATCAACAATCCCCTTAGCGTGAACCAACTGACCGGACAGTGTATAAAGAGTGAAGTGGTGCCGGCGCCGTCGGGCACGTCCAACCCGGCGATCAGTGTTACGTAGCCCCGGCCGGACCCACGTGACAAGACTGTTCCAATACGCCGTGTCATACGCGGGGTCCGTGCACGTGTACAGACGGGAATTACGGTGGTGGCCGCCATAATGGCGGCACGGGGAGACAAGAGAACGGCGGAGCGCCGCTGGCTGATCTTCGTCGGGATCGTTGAGGAACATGGAAGACGACGAGACAACCCGGTCTTTGGGAAAGACCGATAGGGGCAAGATAGGTAAACCCCTAGTATCGTCGAGTCTTCGCGGGATTGGGGAGCAATGCTGTTCTTCGTAACCTTCGGAAGGACCAACGGATCGGGGCCACGGTCGATCGGAGTCCCAGTTCACCGAGACACGGCTCCAGAGGGGATCGAAGGCGGTTAGACTGTAAGCTATCGGGCGGTCGCTCGACCGGGATGTCGGGTTGACCGGGTAATTGTGTCTAGCCGCGCCCGCCGCGCCGCGCGCTCGTTCGCCGGGTTTCTTTTTCTAAACACCCAGTGGCCCGGTTGCAGTGAGGGTCACTGGACATGGACGTTCGCGCGTGTAACGAAAGAACGAACGAACAAAAACACATGAGAGAACACGAACAAAATGAAGATGAGAAATACTCAGGACCAAGTGTCTGGCTGTAGTCACCCGCTCGAGGAAATTCTGTGTGCTAGGGAGATTGCGAGAGAAAGAGGACGCGCGTGATGGTTTTCTTGGGTGGATGGGTTCGCGTGAATGGGCGAAAGGGAGAGTGCGAGATGGAGAAAGAGAGAGAAAGAGAGAGAGAGGAGGGAGAGAAAGAGAGAGAATGCGTGAGAGAATTAGCGGCAGAGAGAAAGAGAGAGATTGCGTGAGAGAGGATTAACTGGAGAGAGTAAGGATAGGCCGGCGAGAAGGTGCGCGTGACACAGCTTGTAGTCCTTGTTACGTTGTGATGCCAATGACTGAGAGGTCATGTTCCTGTGCCAGGTACTATATTCTATAAAGTAATTATACCGCAGACGTATAAGCTAAAGGTAACACGAGCAGAAAACGTGCGAGTTTGAGAGAGAAAGCGTGCGTGTACGTGTGTATGTACGGGAAATAGGGAGAAAGAGGATGGACGATGATGAACGAGAGAGGGAAAGAGAGAGAGAAAAAGGAAGAAAGAAAGAGAGAGAGAAAGGAAGAAAGAAAGCGAGCAAGAGAGATAGATAGAGAGAGAAAGAGGATCGAAGACGATGATGAGTCGTAGAGCGAGACTTTTTATTGTCATTCATTTATTCGACCTCACGGTGTCAAGATACCTATCTTCTGTATGTAATTTGTTATTTTTTTAAAAGTCTATACACAGTGCGATTAATTAGCGTGTAAGATCTCTTTTTTTTTAAGTCCCCGTAACGTTTAGGTCACCCCCAACCCTCACACCCCTTTCAACGAGAAATTTTCGATTATATCCGACCTTCGCCGTTACGTACCCCTCTATCCTCGTGCGTTCTCGCGCGGCACCCGTTTCTTTCCGTATTCGACGATAATGATCGGTAATGAGATTAACCGGCTAGTCGAGGTCGAGATGAAACGGGCGAGTCTCGCGGTGATCTTAAATCCAACCCGTTCGACCTCGAAACCAGCTGTAACGTAATCAACAGACAAAACACGCAATCATAGGATTTATTTGCGGGACCTATGCGATCCATAAAAGCGTCCCGATCCGTGGATCTCCATTGCATAATATAATAAACGGAGCTATTTAGGTGAATTCTCAGGAATAATCTGTCCAAACTCGAAAATTCGAAGCCCTCGAAGCTCTTTCGTGAACGATCGTTCATCATCCCCATTCGAAAGTTTACGTCGACGGTTGATCGTTTCTTTTCTTTCTCTCTCTTTCTTTTCGGTTCTTCTCTCTTTTTTTTCTGTTTCCACGCGTCGGAGAGATCGGAATCATCGATGATCGGGAAGACGATCGAACGGCGATCGAAACGAGCGGCACCGCTCGCGCTTTCGAGCCATCGAAGACAATAACCACGGCGAAAGATATGAGACTGTTCTGTGCGTCGAACGCGCGATCGAGAGCTTCCAATTTAGAAATTGTGTCCGGGAGGTCGCGTTCGATCGGATCCGTCTTCGCCGCGATCGTTCACGATCGAGGAAGAGTAGGGAAGCGAGAGAAACACGTTGCATTATTTATCGAGCGTCGTCACGCGAGCGACGACACGCTTTTTCACGCGAGATCACCTTTTCCTCCACCGGCAGGCTCCATTTTCTTTTCCCCACCGCCGATCTTTCCATCGTCGTTTTAATAACTCCGGTGAATCCGGACGGAAATTCGTTGTAATCTTTTTTCTCCCCTTTCTCTTTCGTCTCGTTTAAATTTTCCTTGTATGATAAGATCGACAAGTTATATCCAGGAACGGGCAAAAGAAGTCTCGAATAAGGGATAAATTTTTGAATTTGAATCTTTATGTATTATTCCGTTCGAACGAGAAGTAATTGTGATTGTAAAATTCGCTACGATTCGTTTTTAAATGGTTAAGTTTATTTGACAATTGTCCGATTCAAGAATCGACTCGAATAAGCTTCTATGTATATAAGATGATTCGAAAATAATTATTTGAATATTTCGAAGAGATTATTCGAAGAAGATTTTGTCCGTATCTGGCCATCGGCGAGAAACGTTTATCGAAAGAAACAAAAAGTAAAGCGTGCGAAGCGTGTAGCGAGGAGCGAGATAAATCATTATCGGACTGCGGATGTTTATGCGATAGGAGTAA